ACGCTGCATCACTTAAATTGGTGTTAGCAGTTTTCAGATGCAGCAAAACCAGACGCACTGCCACCTGACAAAGAGTGACAAACGTCTTATTGAGAGGTAGCGCGACATGGCGCGCATTCAAACGCTGTGGGGTGAACACACCACGGTGCACGGAGCGTACAGAACACCGTAGTAACTGGCGGTACTCACCGGCATCACCTCGGAGATCAGGTCGCACCTCTCGACGTTCAAATCCCACATGAACCGGTACGGAGCGGTCGGGTGGATCAGATCGAAGATCTTCTGCGCCGCCATGTTGATCGTGCAGTCAGCGCGGTAGACCCGACCCTTGAAGCGGGTGGACGGCGTGGTGTAGACCGACACTCCGTGCTGAAAGCAACACAACGTGAGGCTAGTGACCGCCAGAGGCACATGGCCAGCCGTCGCCCTTACAAGCTGCCTTTTCAGCGTCCATTCCCTGGTGCCGTTGAGGAAACTGTCGACGTCCTTCCAAATCTTGCTCAGCTCCCTCTCAGCTTGCTCCGCGGTCATTATCTGGCGTGTCAGATCGTCAGGCGACGGACAGTGCCGAACACGGCGTATACAAGGCTACTGGTGTCTCTGCAAAATGGTGTCGTATCAGAAACAAGAAACAAGAACGCGAAGGCCAGCGCGTCAGTACTTAACTCGACTTCCGTAACTCATCTATCCTGCCTCATGACAACCACCCGGTTACTTCAATGATAAACTGTAACTGCAGCAGCAGCAGCGCATTATGCAAATTGTAGTTACTCTATCGATTATCCTCGCACATTTCATGCTGCATATGTGTAGTAAAAGCGATAACCGGCATTATCCGGTTATCGGAGTTCCACACGTTCGCAAAACCGGCAACGACCAGCAAGACGTCAGTCGTAGTGCTGTGCATCCGTAGAGTCTAGAGGATTTATCTTAACGATTTTCAATCTATCTTCTATCTACCGAACTGCCATCTCAGAGGAGTGAGGGTCGATTCAGACTCAAAGTCAGCAAAAGTTTTAAGCAATTTTTCAGTCAGACAGACTCGTAATGGGGGGGGGGCACCAATCGAGGCTTGTCGCAGTACTCGGTAATTCTATACCCGACCGAAGCGCCGTATTGTCGATGTTTTCGCACTTTTTGCAACACCGCAAGATCCCCTCATGCGACTGCCAGAAGCCTGCAGATCAATCTATGCAAACCACCAGGCAGTGAATTTACAAAAAAACAAAAACAATGCCGTTAAATGTGTTTTGAGACTGCGTGTTTGGCTCGAAAGTCATAGGCGATAATTTCCAATTTGAATAAAAACCTGTTTTTACAAAGCCGTTTCAGTTTTTTACACGACTCTTGGAAAGGTTGCTTTCGATACCTTGACTTACAGAATCGTAAACGAAAGGGGAGTCAAGTTTTTAACATCAAAACCAGATTAATCTCGGAATACGGGCTAGAAATAGCGTCAACGAGATGACTGATAAACGCAAGAACTTGTTTTGTCAAATGAACAAAAAATGACATTGGTTTATTGAAAAGGGTTTTACGACCATTCCTTCACATCCATCATATTGTTATTATATCAACTATGACTGAAATTTCAAAATCTGCTGTGCAAGGCATGAAATAAGTTTTCATTTTCACCACCCTTCTCATTTTGGCGGGATACCGTTTAGAGTACTGTTGTTGGCTGGGACGTTTACCTGCCATGCAATTGTTATCATCAAACGATCAATCACGTTATGTTAAGTAAG